ACCTCAAGCGGAGTATCCACTGGATTAGCCGATTGGAGACCAGCCATGGAAATTAAATCTGTGGCATACTTGTGTTGATGGAGGAACAAACCCTTGGATGTAGAATGAACCTCAAGACCAAGAAAATAATGCAAATTACCAAGATCTTTCATATGAAACGCTGCTTGTAACTGCTGTTTAAGGCTTTGAATGGAAGCATGATCAGAACCAGTAATAATCATATCATCAACATACAGAAGAAGTAGGACAATTCCAGTAGACGTTCTATGAATAAATAGAGAAGAATCATACTGACTCTGAGTAAAGGAGAACCCAAGTAGAGTGGAGCGGAATTTTTCATACCATGCTCTAGGTGCTTGTTTCAAACCGTATAAGGAGCGTTTAAGCTTGCACACACCCTTAGATGATGAAAATAAACCTTGAGGAGGAGTCATATAAATGTCTTCCGCGAGGTCACCATGAAGAAAAGCATTTTTCACATCTAATTGATAAAGAGCCCACCCGTTAGAAGCAGCTATAGAGAGTACCGTACGAACGGATGTCATTTTAGCAACCGGTGCAAATGTCTCATCATAATCAATTCCATATTCCTGCTTGTTTCCTAAGGCAACCAAGCGAGCCTTGAAACGGTTGAGGGACCCATCCGAATTCAATTTCACAGAATACACCCATTTGCAGCCAATGGGTTTGACATCTGGAGGACAAGAGACAATATCCCATGTGAAATTCTCTTGAAGAGCTTGAAGTTCCTCATTCATTGCTTTTATCCAACGTACATCTTTAACAGCCTGTGAATAACAAGTAGGAATAGATATGCCAGAGAGGGTGGCAGTCAGAGAAGTATGTGCTGAATCATACCTGTCTGGTGAATATCTGTCTGGTGCTCGAGATATTCGAACAGAACGTCGTGGTTCAACCGTTACAGGATCAGGTGGCGGTTCAGCGTCGGGAAAGGGTGTGGGAACCTGCTGTTTGTGTTTTCTGACATATACATGACCTGGTTTATAACGCTCTATAGATTGAGGCATAATAGAGAACTTAGGAAGAGTAACAATATCATTCATGACAGGAGAAACGCATGGAAACATAAACTGATTATCAAAAAATGTCACATTCCTAGAAATGCGAAAACGATGGTTAGTGACATCATAACACACAAATCCCTTATGTGAGTGACTATACCCCATAAACGCACATTGAACAGACTGTGCTCCAAGCTTATGTCTTTCAAATGGAGGTAAGTGCACAAAACAAACACATCCAAAAATATGTAAATCATTATAACTAGGCTGAATTTTAAAAAGGCGAAAGAAGGGAGAATCAAAATCAATAACCGTAGAAGGAAGACGATTGATCAAGAATACGGCTGTGGAAAGAGCCTCAACCCAAAATCGGGATGGCACAGAAGCTTGAAGAAGTAATGTGCGTGTTACATCAAGCAAATGACGATTCTTTCGCTCTGCCATCCCGTTTTGTTGAGGGGTATTGGGACAAGACCGTTGAGACAAGATCCCTTTTTGTTGAAGGTATTCCTGAAATGCATGAGACATATACTCACCTCCCGAGTCAGATCGAAAAATTTTAACACTTGCTTGAAATTGATTTTCAACATATGTCAAAAACTTCTGAAACATAGAAAACACTTCAGACTTAGATCTAAGAAAATATATCCAAGTAAAGCGGCTGTAATCATCAATAAATGTGACAAAATATTTATAGTGAGCATGAGATGTTGCAGGAGACATTCCCCACACATCACTATGAATCATCTCAAAACAATTAGAAGCACGATGAGCGCCTGACGGAAAAGGGAGGATTTTACTTTTAGCCAATTTGCAAACAGAACATGAAATAGGAGTAGTACACGCATGTTTATTTCCCAACAAACCAGTTTTAAATAAATGAGACAAAACAACAGAATTTGGATGGCCTAATTTTCTATGCCAATCCTCATAAGAGTTCAAAACAGTATTACATGCAAAGGATAAATGACTAGAACTAAACTGGAGTGGAAACAATCTTCCCACTTTAGGCCCCTTCGCGATCACCTTTCCCGACACCTGCTCCTGCACAAGACAACCAACACGAGAAAAACTAACATTACAATTGTTATCCACCAATTGACCAACCGACAATAAGTTGGAAGCAAGTCCGGGTGATACAAGCACGTCACGAAAGTTTGAGTCTATGTCACCAACATCAGTGATAGAAAGTTTATTACCATCAGCAATTTGAATTTGCTGATTACCATTATAGGAATGTACATTTTGTAAGTATTTAGAGGAACCCGTCATGTGATTGGATGCACCAGAATCAAGAAACCATGATTGAGAATTATTAGAAGACTTACCCTGAATTCCCAAGGCTGAAAGAGCAGAAAGTACCATTTGGTGAATCATTTCAGGTTGTAGAACACTACCGGTACCCGTACTGAGAGGACCAACTTCAGAGTTGGTAGTGGCATGGAATGCTTGAGTTGGACGTTGTACTGGTCGGGGAGGACGTGTGGGACAGTCAGAGATGATATGACCCTGTTGTTTGCAATAGTTGCAAAACTTCTTACTGCAATTGCGAGCTACATGTCCAAATTGTTTGCAAGAAAAACATTGAACTTGTCGCATATCACGACCCTTTCCTCTACTTTGAGCAGCATATGCAATTGCCACAGGTTCGGAACTAACAGCATCATGAGACATGGTTCCTTGCGTAAGTAGACGTTGTTCCTCCCTTAGAAGTTCACCGACACAAGTATCCAAAGAAGGAACAGGATTCCTATTGAGCAAAGCGCCTCTAACAATCTCGAATTCTGGACGAAGTTTCATGAGAAATTGATCTCGCCGACTTGTGTCGTAGACCTCTTGAACAGCAGTGAGAGAGGTTTTGGGAACATTAGCATGTATAATAGCAGAGTGTTCTGTCCAGAGATTCAGAAAACCAGAATAGTATTCTTGAATAGGTAGGTCACCTTGTTTGTAGTTGGCTATGTCTAGCTCCAATTGAAAACGTTTTGCCGAATTGTCCTGGTTGTAAATGCGCTTCAGATAATTCCATATTTCTTGAGCAGTTGAAAAGGAGCGCAAATTATTTATCATCTGAGGATCAATACTATTGAGAATCCAAGTGATGATTTGAGCATCTTGAGTTTCCCATACATCTGAAGCAGTTTTATCCGTCGGGGCCTTAGAAACACCATCTAAGTGACTCCATAATCCCTTTCCTCTAACATACATCTTGAATTGAAATTCCCAAGCCGAATAATTCTTGCCGGTGAAACGAACACAGAAGTTATCTCTTTCTTTTTCGGAAGCCATTGAAATTATGTTGTAATTAGATGATGTATTACTATAATAATAATAATTATTATAATACTTATTATTATTATAATAACAACCTGCAACCAAAAGGAACAAAGCTCGTGCAGTACCACCAATATATCCCAAGAACAGTACCACTCGTGAAGCCGTAACAATTCCAATGTTTCAATTTGGAATTAGCGGCGGAACCAAATTATAACCACAAACCACAAACCAAATTAAAACAAAATTATAACCACGAAAAACAAACCGGTCACGACCTAGAATCAATATTCGTGAAAGGAGGATCGCAAATAACCGAAGTAAGCCGAAGCCCTAAACCCAGAATCACGATGGCAATCGACGCTAAACGAATTCCACGGGGAACGATCAAGAAGCAGAAACGAAGAAACAACAAACTGAATTGATCAGGGTGTTGTCACAGAACCAAGAGAGAAAAAAATCAGAACCAGGAAATCACAGGTTTGATCTACGAGGTTGATACCATGTCAAGAATTCTTGGCTTCCTCCTTTTCTCATTATTATTTCTCGTATATATAGAGGTTACAGGGCTATATTGGTAATTACACTAAATAATTACATTTTAATGAGAACAAGTCAATTTCTAATTTGTTTCCTTTATTCTAGGAACAAACCCTTATTCTAGGAACAAACCCTTATTCACAAAAAATAGTTATCAAGTAATACAAACAGTGTTGGCTGTGATGTGCAGGTGAATGAAAATATTTCTCAATTGTTAAATAAACTTTGGATCACAAATGTGCCGAGTAAAATTTTCGTTTCGGGTGGAAGCTGCTGTTGAATCGACTACCAACACACATTGCCTTGCCCAACTGGGGGATCATCAATGGATCTTTTAACCTCCTCTGTCCAATTTGTAGTTCAGCTGAAGAAATTACCTCCCATCTGTTCTTGGATTGTTTTCTGATTTTTCAGGTTTGGAACCGGATTTACATGTGGCTTAATTTTCCGTTCCAATTAGAGGTGGACGTCGCAGGTACAAATTACAGTAGTTTCAGTGTCATGCTCGAAGGTAGAGCCCAAAAGAACCTTCGTCTTTTGGTGTGGTTTGTGGTTTTTTGGGATGTCTGGCTGAGCAGGAATGATGTTGTATTTCAAGGATCAATTTTTCGTGTTGTTGAAGTTGTTGATAGGGGCAGAGTCTTAGATTGGAATTAGTTTATTGGGCTGACTGGTGTTCAAACCTAGTGGATTATATTGATCTTTATCAAATTCAATGGCCTCATTGGTTTCTATCTTATTCTTAATCTTAATTTTTTTGATATTTTTTGTTGGACAGATTTCTTATCTTTTTCCTATGTGTCATCCTAATCATTGTAGCTATGTTCCAATGCTTGGAGAAACCAAATACAATCCGGATCGACAATACTCTTCAATTAGTATAGATGAACAACTTGAAGCTCTTGGCAAAGCGGTGAAAGCTCGAAAGGTATGTTGAGTTTTCAAATAGTTTAAACTGTGGATGGATAAATGTTACATATAGCCATTGAAATAAAATTATTTTTAGTTAAATTAATTAAACTCAATTCGACAATTTTACTAAAACAACATTGGCATATAAAAAGAAAAGAAAACAAAAATAGTAGCATTGATTTCACAGGTTTTTCAATGTTACCCAAACAAACAACTTTTCAACTCCCACGGCTAGTAAAGTCACTCTAAAACTCATCTTGCTTCAACTATTGAATTTGTAACAACATTGACAGAAACGTTTTCTTCAGTGCTTCTAGAGAGACTTGAATTTTCAATACTTCTCACATTTTGAAATGCTGGTAGCTTTGGACTAGGAAGGGATGTAGTGTCATTGCCAATCATTGAGACAACATCAGACATGGTTGGCCTATCTTCTGGACTTTGTTGTACACACAGAAGTCCTATATTCACATATTTTGTTACTAAATTCTTGTTGGACATATCTACTTTTGAATCAATCAAGTCCATTCCAGAATTGTTGGTCCATAGATCCCAAGCCTTGAGTATTCAGCAAGTAAAGAAGTCAAAACTATAACAATATAAAGAGAATTTGTGACCAAAAAAAGATCAGTTGAGTTGAATTTAGGAACTCACATATCCAAGAAGATTAAAGGAATTTGCTTGATAAAAACCAGTATTCTTCTTGCCACTTATAATCTCTAACAGAAGGACTCCGAAGCTAAACACGTCGGATTTAATTGAGAAAACGCCTTCCATCGCATATTCAGGAGACATGTAGCCACTAAAAAAACAAGAGTCATTAGTTGTTGATTGATAAGTTGTTTAAAATTTTGAATAACATAATATTAATTTTTTTACTTACTAAGTTCCTACTATTCGATTTGTATTTGCTTGAAGAACATTCTCACTAAATATCCTCGCCATTCCAAAATCTGATATTTTAGGATTCATGTTGGAGTCTAACAGAATGTTGCTAGCTTTTAAATCTCGGTGAATGATCCGAAACCTAGAATATTGATGCAGATATAGGAGTCCTTGCGCGATCCCTTCAATTATTCGAACCCGTGTTCCCCAATCTAGCGTCTCTCTTTTTTCCGCATCTGTTTTGCATAAAAAGATGTTACAACTAGAACTTGGATGAAATAGATTGGAGCAGCATATGTAGGAGAAATTTGTGTCAGAAAAAGTACAAACCAAAGAGAAAACAATCCAAACTTGTATTGGCCATGAATTCGTAAATAAGCATTTTTTCATCTCTTTCAATGCAGCATCCGAGAAGTCTAACTAGATTATTATGTTGGAGTTTTGCAATCAGCAAGGCTTCGTTTCGCAACTCCTCCCATCCTTGACCTGATCTTTTAGATAGCCTTTTTACAGCAACCTCATCACCATTCAATAATATACCCTAGAAAGGAAAAGTTGTTTATTCAACAAAGCTATATCAGTAACATTCCAAGAGAGTGCAAGTTTTTACAATACTGCTAAAGAAATTTAGAACTTACCTTATAAACAGGTCCAAAGCCACCTTCACCGAGTTTATTTGTTTCTGAAAAGTTATTCGTCGCTGCTGAAACGCTCACAAAACTGAATAATGGTAACTTGACTTCTTTCCTTTTAACTTTTGTACCCTTTTCAGAGTCTTTACTAATCATGCTCATGCCTACTTCAAAATTGAGCAAATCATCCCCTAGAAATTGAGGACATTCATAGTTGATGTGAAAAGTTAGAAAACTAAAATGTTTAAGGGACCATATTAATGTGTTATGTCATGACTCTTGAGTTATAGTTGTAATGTAAACTTAGTATGCGTCTTACCTTTCTTACTTTGCTTTCTTGTCCGGTAAACAAATAAGCCAAGCAATATAAGCAATAATAGAAATGGGATTAAAATAACAATTAGAAGTAAATTCCTCCTCCTGTTTCCATGTCTGCTAGCTGCATTTGTTCCATTACTTGTGGTAAGAATGTCTGAGGCAGCATGTTTGAGATAAAAAATTGGTCTATTTTTCTCATCATCTTGATTATCAGTTGAGATGTTCTTCAGAGTGAGTAGTTGATCATTCCACAACATGCAGTTAAATCCAAATAAATCATAAGCAAAAGCAAGACAAGAACAATCTGTCAAGCAAGTGTTGTTACATTGTGCTATAGAATACAGCTTCATGTTCACATGATTTGGAGGTAGTTCCACTGAATCGACCTTAACAAATCCATCTGTAATGTTGCAGGACAAGTTCTTTGACCTTACACATCCAGCTGATCTGTTCCCTTTCCTCCAAGAATCATCATCAAATGATTCAAAACCATTGAGACACTGACAAGGGTCCTGATCTTGTGGATTACAAATGGAAAAAACTCCACACGAATTGTTTGTTTCGCACTTGGACCACTGTAGAGAAAGCCAACGTTTGGATTTCTCAGACCAACCTTCGTGTTTAAGATCCCCAGACACTTCCAATACAATTCGAGATTTGTTAGCAATTGGGAGAGTGAACTGATTGTAGTAAGAAGTCTGTTCCAAACTGACTCGGTTGAAAAAAATCTGAATAGATAAATTGGAGTTACCATCAATCCACAAGACATTTGAACCTTTATTTACAGTTAGACTTGCTAAGCCGGAATCAAATTGGAGAGTATATGGTCCGATAGCAGGGTCGTCTGCACTTGTCCATGACTTCAGTGACCTACCTAATCCGATTGTCATTCCAGGTAAAAGAGTATCAGTTGGATCATCAAAACTCTGCCATAGAATCGCTTTGTTAGAGTTGTTCAACAGTACTAAGTTTCCTGAGTCCAACAGCGTTGCATAATTACTATAACTGTTGTTTGGAACGTTGGTGACACTGTATGTCATATGTCCATCTCTGATCGCAATGTTACCATCAGGTTGAATGGTAAGAAACGCCGAGGATGTTTGGCATGCGAAATCTCTGTTGGCAACCCAAACAATCTTGTCGTTTGGTACCTTTTTGAACCATATACCTACGTAGTACTTGGTGGTGTTGTCTCTGTCTCTGTGGAAAAATCCAAGTTCATAGTTTCCACCGTATGAAACAACTGTGTCAGAAATTCTGACTGACTGCCCCATTTGCAGGAATTCTCTGTAGGAATATGCATTCACGGAAAGCAAAGTGAGGCAGTATAATAATAATATTGACAAGGAAACAAATGTAGAGGCCAGTGCCATGATGATGATAGCTCCCAATGTTCAACTCTAAACTCTTTTAGCATGATATGTTGATGATTATTTGTTTGAGGAGACTTGGAATAGTAAGTCTTCCATTTTAGCATCATTTTCCAAATTGATTATTCTAAAACTTTACGTAGAGATTGACTAAATGCAGTCGTTGCAACTTGTCATTTGACATCTTCTATATCTTCTACATTTTATGTGGATCAAATTGATTCAAATTATAATTGGATTTGAATTAAAATGATTCAAATTGATTTGAAAGATCAACGGTATTCCACCGAAAAACAAGTTATAAGATTAAGCAATGTTTGAATTTTTCACCGATAGCTAAATTGGTCAACATATAAACAATATTATCTAAAATATGAACATTTTTAAGCAATCTTTGTTTAGATAGAAGTAAGTCTTTGATCTTGTGAAACCTTATATCAATATGTTTGGTTCTGACATAATATATATGTTATTTTTTTCAAATAAATGACACTCTCAGTATCACAATGCAACAGAGTTCCACCTCATATCAATAGTCTTATTTGAAGCTATCACCATACTTTACTTCAGTTGTCGACATGACTACTGTAGATTGAACCGAAGATTTTGAGCAATATGTTCTCCAATTAAAGTGAAGACATACTCTGTTGTAGATTTTCTATCATCCATATCACTAACTTAGCCTTAATCAACGTATCATACAACCGAAAAATCACTATGTTCACTGCTAAACAAGATACCATAATCCATTATATCCTTTAAGTATTTGGAAATCTACTTGATCACGCTTACCCGATTTGAACATAAATTTACAAATTTGACTTATAGTTTGAACATAAATTTACAAATTTGACTTATAGTTTGTGTCAAATCTGATTTAGTACAGACCATGACATTCATTAAACAACCAATGCATAAGGAATCTTTAACATATACTTAACTTCTTCGTCGATTTTTCGACATTAAACAACTAATGCATAAGGAACCTTTAACATGTATTTAGCTTCTTCATTGATTTCTCAACATTAAAAACTTAAAATTATCCACAAATCAAAGCCATAGGTAACTTTAAAGTCCAGATGGCTTAAAGGTAGTTTTTAGTTTGTGGGTAAACATTGCTAAATTGTATTATTTTAAAATATTGTATCCATGGTTAAGCCTATATTTGTAAGCCTTTAAACGTCTATTTTTATCCACGGCTTTACCTTCATTAAACTTATTTCTTTTAAGTATGTTTTTTTAAAGATAACTTCTCCTTAATTTATATTACACGTAATGTACATATTATAGTATATTACAAATAAATAAATATTCTAAAATATTTATACTAGTATTCATGAAATAATTATATTATAGAAACATGAAGTTTTCAATTCACGTGTTTGATGGAATGAAGAAAAGACAAAAAAAAAATGACTTTAGCAAATTAAAAAACATTTTTTCAAAACATAATTAACAATAAATAAATGAAATATAAATAAAAAAGAGAGAACAAACTCAGTCTCGGTAATTATATTATTGCTCTTTGTATGTGTAACGACTTTTCAAAATCAAATCTCACTTATTTATTTATTTATTGAACAGACAAGATAAAATTGCTTTTCCACTCATAACTTAAGTGGATGATTTGGGTCTCAATCTCTGCAAACAACCCTCAAATCACGTGGCCTAGTGAAAAGTCGTGCTTGGTGGACAAATACCAAGTCACAAAGAGGTTGTGTTTAGTTTATAGGATAAAGAAATCAATTGAAAAGTTGGGTAGAATGGAAAATAATTAAAAAAAAACCTAAACTAGGGTAGATTGGAAAATAATTTGAAATGTTGGGTAGAATGGATATATTAGTGTGCAAAGGTGGTTATTTAGGTGAAAAATTCACAATATCTTCCAATTCATTTATACTGTTGTGAAAAGTTTCAGGTGAGGTAAACAATATCTTCTAATTCATTTGTGCTATTGTGAAAGTGATGCTAAAAATAAAAATAAAATAAAAAGAGAGTATGACCGAATTCTTATTAAAACTATAAAGTAAAAGAAAAGAGAGTAGAGAAGATAAAGATAATTTAAAATGGTTTAAAATTAAATTCTTGATTCAATTACACATTAAGGTATATTGTTTACAATTGAATTTCAACTACACAATTTTTTTCCTCTGATCAGAATTATCAAAGACTGATGGAGATAAGTGATGACTAATATGCTATTTATAAGAAAACTAAACCCTAACTTTCAACGTACATACTAAATAATTGACCTAACAAACTGACCAACTCGACACGCTAACTTAAACAACAATCTAACATATTTCGACAACTACACTAACTTTTTGACTTTAACAGAGCTCTTTAACTTCGACAAAGTTGGCTACAACATTAACTTATAACCCATAAACTACAAATCTCCACCTTGGAACAAACTCTAAACTAAGAAACCAACTAGTTGTCATCATGCAGTCATATCAGCTGCATATAGTGGAAAAACTTGCAGTTTGACAATGTCTTGGTGATCATATCAACAATATTATCATCACTTGAAACCTTAAGCACTTGGACTTCTCCATGCTTGATTATCTCTTTGATGAAATGCAACCTCACATCGATGTGTTTGGTTCGCTCATAATAGACTGAATTCTTCGACATGTGTATTGCACTTTGACTATCACATTTAACAGTGATAGCTTGATCTTGAAGTTTCAGCTTCTTGGCAAAACCTTCAAGCCACGGTGAATCTTTCACAACCTCTGTGAGGGCAATATATTCCACTTTAATGGTTGATAAGATAACAACCTTCTGAAGTGTTGTTTTCCAACTGATTAATGTGCCAAACATAGTGAATACATATCCAATTTTTTTTTAGAATCCATACAACCTGCATAATCAGAGCCGACAAGTCCTTTGGTTTCTAATTTGTTATCGTCACCTCAAACTCCACCATAAACCAGGACTATGCTCAGGGACATATTTATGTATCTTAGAATCCACTTTAATGCTTGCTAGTATGCCTTTCCAGGATTGACCATGTACCTGCTTACAAGGCTCACTACATATGTCATATCTGGCCTCGTACATACCATATCATACATCAAAGAACCTACTATACTAGCATACATAATGCTTTTCATACAAGCTCTATCGACTTTAGTACTAGGACTTTGATTCGTACTCAACTTGAACTGAGGATTAATCAATGTTACAACAGGATTGAATTCGATATACCAAACTTTTCTAGAATCATCAGTAGGTATGTCTCTTGAGATAAGGAAAATATCAAATGCTTTCTATCTCTCTGAATGTTAATCCCAAGAATCTGGGAGGCAACTCCCAGATCCTTCATGTTGAACTTCTTATTGAGTTCATCCTTCACCTTTATTACATCTTCAAAATTGTTGCTTGATATAAGGATGCCATTCATATAAAGCAACAAGATAACTTGTGAATTTCCAGGTCAAAATCTGAGATAAACATAGTGGTCGAACAACCTTCTAGTGAAACCTATGTGTGTCGGGAACTTGCCGAATCTCTTATTCCATTATAGAGGAGATTGTTTCAGGCCATATAATGACTTATTCAACTTGCACACATAATCTTCCTTTCCCTTTTTTGCATACCTTTCAAGTTGGTTCATCAGGATTGTTTCATCTAGATCACCATACAAGAATATTGTCTTTACATCCATTTGTTCAAGTTCTAAGTCGAACTTTGCCACCATAGATAACAACATTCTAATGGATACATGCTTTAAAACATGTGAGAACACATCATTGAAGTCAACACCTTCTTTTTAAGTGAACCCCCTAGCAACCAACCTTACCTTAAATCGCTTCGACATCACTCCTTCAATTCCTCAATTAACCTTGAAAATCCTTTTACAACTGATTAACCTGTCCCCTGCAAGTTTCTCAATCAGCACCCAAGTGTTATTATCATTAAGAGGTTTCATCTCATCATCCATGGATTTTAGCCATTCAGCCTTGTTTTGACTCCTCACAACTTCCTTGCAATCTCTAGATTCTTCATCAAGAACCTCATCACTTGCATAAATTAAGCCAAAATCTATGAGATCTGCATAACCAAGTCTTTTAGGTGGCTTGATGACTCTTCTCGACCAATCTCTTGCCAGCAGGTAGTCATTATCAGTCTCCTCAACTTCGTCAGTAACTTGTGCTTGTTCTTCAACTTCATATGGGTTATGCAATTCAACATCACTATTCTCCACCTCAACATGAATCTCTTCCTGTTCTAACTCATCTCCAGAGATCTTTGTACTTCGGCCAACATCATCAGTTTTCTTGAAATTCATCTTAACTTCATTGAAAACTACATCTTGACTTATGATACACCTCTTGTTACCTAGCTCTAGACACCACAATCTATAAGCTTTGATTCCTTCAAGGTATAAAAAAAAACCATATATCTCAGAGCTCTAGGTTCGACCTTGTCTTGCCTAATGTGAGCATAGGCTACACAATTAAATACTTTAAGCTTGTCAAGATTAGGTGGATGTCTCGACCATATTTCTTCAGGTGTTTTCATCCCTAAAGCAGTCGAGAGACACCTATTTATCAAGTAAGCTGCAGTCATGACTGTTGTAATAGCCTAATTTTCCACGTGTTAGTTATAAATAAAGATAAGAGTAAATTAAAGCATTCAAACAATTAATATGCTACTTTCAACATCAACCAGCTCATGCAAATGGATAAGCAACACATATGAAATTTCAAAATAATAATAATAAACAAGTTTAAATTTCAACTTTAACTAGCAGCAGAAAACATTCAACAATCGATTATTTCAAAACATAATCATAAATAATGATATTCATAGGAAGTATTTAAACATAAGATATTCACATAAAATCTCCACCAAGCATAAAATAAATAAACAAGCGTTTCATCACTCAATGTTAAATATTAAAGCAGACGTCGACTCAACAAAAGCATAAAGAAGAATAGTTTCTTCAACTTACATCCATACCTCTATTGCAGATTATCTACACGATACCCATG